ATTTGAGAGCTAAGATAATAGGGTTTGCCGATGACACCCTCGTACTATTGTCCCATAGGAACCAGGAGGTTCTTCAAAGAGAGATGAACCAGTTCCTCCAGATGATACAAGACTGGACTATTGAAAATAAACTTATCATCAATACTAAAAAATGCCAATGTGCAGTGTTCCCGAGAGTGAACCCACTCTACAATAAGCCGAGGATTACAATACAGGATGAAAAGATTAAGTGCACCGATAAAATAAGTTACTTAGGGCTTCAAGTAGATTGTCTAATGAATTGGACGTTGCACATAGAATACATAAAACAAAAAGCCATCATTATGGCTCATGCACTGAGATCCATTAGCAGGAACCTTTGGGGTCTGAGCTACCAAAGCTCTTCACTCATTTACCACTGTGCAATAGAACCAGCAGTCCTGTATGGGGCTGAGATTTGGGGGTATGCAACAAGAAAACAACAAATTAGAAGGAAATTACTCGCCATTCAACGAAGCTGTCTCATCACAGTGTGCAGGGCCTATCGCACGGCCCCAACTAGCGGGCTGCAAGTGATTGCAAATTCTGTCCCCCTTGACCTTAAAGCCTCGGAAAGGTATTGGGACTTCCAACTTAGGCATTTCTCTGATCAGCTGGCCATATCTGAGACCACCCCTACCCAAGTGAAAGACATTGCAGTCAAAATCCACAACCATGGATCTGATAGATTCAGCGACTACTACCTATTGCACCCGGCCACTGATCCCCCAGATGTGGTACTTTGCACAGATGAAAACAAAAACATAGCTACAAAGTTTTACACAGATGGGTCAAAAGGCCTAATGGGGGTGGGTGCAGCTTTTGTAGAAATAGATTGTAACAATAGGGTGGTTCATCAAGCCTATTACAAACTAGGACCCTTCTGTACGATAAATCAGGCAGAGAGTCTGGCCATCCTCAAATCCCTGGAGCATATTCAGAGAACAATCAATAACAGGACCAAAGAAGAAATAACAATTATTAGCGATAGCAGGGTGGCTCTTCACCAAATAAAAGCAATGAACACTAAATTCAAGGTAATAAAAGATATCATCCACATGGTGTCTAATCTGAAAAGCAATCACATCAAAGTACATTTTCATTGGACAAAAGGGCATTCTGGAGAAATAGGTAACGACAAAGCAGACTTTCTGGCAAAGAAAGCTATAAGTCATTTAAATGGTCCAACCTTCTCGCTTGTTCCCTATAACTGGGTAAAGAACCAGCTCAAAGAATACACAATCAACAGGTGGCAAGAGAGGTGGGCCACGGAGACGACAGGCAGAGTGACCTTCAACTTTTTCCCGGACGTCAAAGGGAGGGATAAATTGAGCCACTTCAATCCTGATTTTCATATTACCCAGTACATTACTGGTCATGGTGGCTTCAAACAATATCTTAACAGGTTCTTAAACAAAGGGACCAGTATTTGTGAATGCCAGGAAGAAGATGAAACTCCAGAACACATTTTGTTTACCTGTGTCAAACACGTCACTCATCGCAAGCAGCTCAAGCATGTAATGTATTCACAGGGGTTCCACTGGCCCTGTCGAAGTCAGGACTTCCTTACTAACAACATACAACAACTGCCTTCAAGACATTCATTCTGAAAACAGGAAACACTTTTCCAAACTTTACCTGAGGGATCACCGCAAGCCAAGATGGTCTCCCTTCTCCAGTGACAACAGACTAGCCGGCAAATATTTTACCTTTGTGTTTGTGCTCATCGCAACCTGCATCAGCAATGCAACCAGCCTGGATAGCCTGGCAAGGTTGTACGGTTAACTTTCTTTCTTTTATACGCGCAAGCCTAGTGGTTCGGGCTACTTATCCCTTTTTGTTCCCCTGGACCAGTATAACTAATACTAGGTCTTCAGGGTCCCCCCAAGCTGGGGTTCATGTTATGTTATGTTATGTTTTGTTCGGTCTAAACTGTCATGTACTGTACATTTGTATTCGCTAAGTCGCGAGTTGTCTACTGTGATATTTGTTTAATCCGCGGTCTGTTGTACTCTACAAATTGGAGCAGTTTCATTGTTTTTCTACAGGCATGTACCTACATTTTGTATTACATTCATTTGTGTTCCAACAAACGGAGCAGGGCCTGGATGCTCACAAATCTCTTCTTCACACTTTCCTATCATACTTACCCCATCTTCCCCTCCCCCCTCTCTTATCCTCTTCTTACTTCTCTTCTAAGGCTAAGCCTCTGGTACGGCCTTCTTAACTTTTACAATAATAATAATGTAGACCATATATGTAGGAGCAAAGATGTCAAAGAAACCATACCTCTACAAGCAACCTGAAATCAGCTTACTTCCAGAGTGCAATCAAAAGTCATGCTTTGCTAAGACTATCAAGTTTAACTATTTAGCCCACTTGACTACACAAGTTTTGAATAATCCACTTGACTATTCCGGGAGCACTTGATGTTATACAGTTATAGGGGGTGTGGATGCTTGTCCCCATGTGGGCACTGAGATGCGATCGATAATGAGCACCAAAGCACATGACTACATACAAAGCATCAGTCATGGCTCACTGTTGCTTGTCCTGACCTTAGAGGATCATGGAAAATAGACAGCAGTACTGGTTCAAGGTAAAAACTATTTTCAGTTAGTAGAAGTTAAATGAGCTGTTTATTTTGAAAGTGGCCTAAGTTCCATTTTTCAAAAAAGTCAAGCTAGCTATTTACATTTCTACATTATTGTGAGAATAGGGACGAGGGTCCAGGCCCTCTAATTGTCAGATCTGTCAGACCTGCTCACTTTGTCACTGGATGGCTTAAATTTTTTCAGAGCCCGAGTGGTAAGATTCTGTGTGGGTTGTGCATAAGGAATAAATACTCGACTACGAAAGTCAGGAATATAAAAATCAACAATTTAATCACAGAAGGCCAAAATAACAAGGACAAATAATAGATTAACAACATATAAAACATAGGTCTACTCTATAACTATAATCAGTATGAGAGAAAGAGTTTACAATAAAATCATATTACCTCCTTTTGGTGGTAGGGCAGTATCTGTAGGAGACTATATAGCTATATCATGGATGAACGGCCGGTCCTATAATTTTTTGCCATATAAAAAATTAGATTTAATGGAAGAAAAAGAAATTGTGTATTCATTCAATTGCAGCTGTGATCCGGTCAAAACTTATATAGGAGAAACAAAAAGAAAATTAAGCACAAGAATAAAAGAGCACATACGTGCAATAAGGGGTAATTATGCAAATTCTGCAGTAGCAGAACACTGCATTAGTTATGGGTGCCAAATCAAAAAAAAATACTATAAAAATTAAGAAAAAAGAATCAAATAATTACAAACGTCAATTATACGAACATTTAAACATAAAGAAAGAAAGAAATAGAATAAACAATAATTTGGGTCGTATAATCCACCAATCCTGGAACACCATACTTGATGGTGAAAAATAGAACCTTGATGTGAGTTTTTTGGTTTCTTATATAATGTTGTTAGATTTTAATAATTTACAACCTTTATTTACTATATTTATTTAATTTAATTATATAGTGAAATGTTTAATTATACAATGAGAAAGATACATTTATACTCGAGATTGGAATATGTATTTACAGTAAGTTTTAAAATTGTTTTTTATGGCTAAGTGAAAAATTTTTTAACTTATACAGTAACTTATTTGTTTTATTGTTGTTACCTTTTTAGTGTATGGTAGTAGTACTGCTGATGAGGGGCATGTTAGCCCGAAACACGTATAATATGTGTACAGAAATTATTACTACAGGTGATATAATAAAGAAATTTTGTTCTTTCCTGAACTAACTTCTCGTTGCTGTGCCAATCTTTAAACACCAGTATTAAGTCCTATTAATAAGTAAAGTCCAAGTAGACAATAAACAATAACATAAGCAAGTAAGAAAGATTACCAATGTGATGCAAATTGATAATGGTAACTCTACCGTGCACCCAAAATCTACTTTTCTTGAGTTTCCTGACAATTTTATCCCCTAAAAAACTTTAAAAAGATAAAAAAAAAAAAAAAAATGCCAAGTACATACAGAATCACTCTAAGAAAGGAGTGAAATCATAAATCGACACCAAGTACAGCAGATGTCTTCGATTATGTATTTGTAGTTTGATAAATCCTTTGTAATAGCAAATTAATAACCATTAAGAATATTACATAGAAAAATTTTTTATAGTCTGTCTTGGCAAGATCATTTATTGAATAATTCGTTACAGATAAAATGAGTGTTCTTGACATAGTAAATTATAGTGTGTGCATGTACTGTATTTTGAGTCTTACAATCCTTATTTCTGATCAGTTCACAGGCCTGTGAATTGGCTGAAAACATTTTTTGTGATAAAAGTTATTGCAGGAAAAGCATGAATGGTGTTTTTTTATTTTATCGTCAAATCGCAGGTTATTAATAAAAAGAAAATTTTTGAATTGGCTATCTTTGGGCTATTTTATAGAAAATTTTTGGCTACAAACACTAAAAACATCTAGCAACGTCATACATAACTGTGCACACCATAATTATTTTAAATCTCTCCAGCATACAAAAATTTGAGAAGAATGAATAATTAGTTGCAAAATATTATTAATTTTAATGTAACAATTTTTTAATAGTGAATAAAAATTGAATTTTTAATTTTATAACACAAGAAATTTATTTTTTCAAAGGACTTATGCCTTTTTAAGAATTACAAAAGTTATTTCAGTAATTTCGAAAGTGGCTTAAGTCCATTTATAGCCATTGAAAACATATTATTTTTTAAACAATGTTAATAATGCTAACTGAGTTGATAAATTATACACCCTTAGAAACACAAAAACATTATACTACCATTTTATTAGTTTTATTTTAAAGTTATTAAAACGCAAACTCTTAAATATCTCGATTTTAACATAAATGGACTTAGGCCACTTTCAAAATAAATGGCTTAAATGTGAAAAGTCTGAGATGAAATAAAGACTTCAAATGGAATCCTTACTTGATACTGTTTGGATAGTGATTTATAGCCAATCCCAAACTGACTCCACATGTTTCTATTCCATGTTGTACCATCACATGTAATAAAATCTACCATTAAACCAAATCTTTCTAGCAGTGCCACAGCTTTTAAAAGAATTATTGACAACAGTTCTCCTATAAAATAAAAATAGTTTTAATTTTTGTTATTTAAAAATAAGACATGATAAGAATGAGCCTAATAATTTAATGCAATAAACTTAATTTTGCCAGTATTAAGACTTTTGTTATGAGCTAAAGAAAAAAACTAATCTTTATTTCTCCAGCTCCCTAAAACCTTATTTTCATCCTAAAATTTTACAATTTACTAAGTACAGTATTATATTTACTTATTTTTACCAGATATATTTTCATGTGTGGAAAAACTCCCACAATTTGTTGCCAGTTTCCTGTTAATGTTTGGTACATTACCATGCCATGATCACTTGCTGCAGTTTTCATGTTTTCTAGTGTGTAATCATCCAAATCTACAAACCCTTCAATATCACTGGAGGATGCCATGTGAAAATGTTCTGATAGTTTTAGTTCATCTACCAATATTCTACCATTCATCGAATCATCCAATTTTCTAATGCTTTTCATCCAATGCTTTAACTTTCTCCTTCAGTGTATCAAATAGTTTTTTGTTAAAACCAAATCCACTTTTAAAACATCTTAGGTATTTCTGGAGGGTGTTACGACATAGTATAAGAATCTTGCACTTTCTCAAATGTTCATATAATCTAGGACTTTTCATCCACAATGATACACTCCAAGATCCATTCAGGGACATAGGATAAGCAATGATTGGATTTGCATCTGGATGCCAGAAAACAATGTTCAATTGCAAGACAATGCTTGGAGGATATTATATATATATTTTTTATTACGCATACTGAATACACTCCTTGATGCTAGGACTTTATATTTTCTACCAGACTAGCCTGCATAATTTTGCAATTTTCTTCTTGAATCTGGCTGATTAATTTATTTAAGAACTAGCTGCAAGGACCACTTCGCTGGGTTTTTATTTGTTCGTACATTTGTATGTAATATAGTTTTTTTTTATATATAAAAGACTGTTTTTCTAAGTAATCTAGAATCTAGCTGCAAGGACCCGCTTCGCTGGGTTTTTATTTGTGGGCAAAAAGTAACGATACTGAAGATTAANTTTTTTTATATATATAAAAGACTGTTTTTCTAAGTAATCTAGAATCTAGCTGCAAGGACCCGCTTCGCTGGGTTTTTATTTGTGGGCAAAAAGTAACGACAGTGAAGATTAAAATAATTACATTATAGCCAATCTTACCCGTTTTCACAAAATGCAAGAATTAGGTCTCCCATTTCCAGACGTTTCCAGAGAATTTTACATGAGCATAAAAATATGTTCGATTTCCCGCAAAAGCGCAAAAATCCGCCTGTAAATTTTGCATGCCGCTTTATATTAATTAACACTTCCTGGTCCCGATTCGATTTCTGAACGTCTCCTGTTCACGTCAAGTCAAACGAACTATTTTCAACGTTTCTGGAACGCTTACAATCGTTCTATAATCGAACCAATATTCGAATTTTATGTTCGAATTAAATTCGAACAAATTCAAACAAAACATTCAAAATAGAAAGCCACTTTCAACCACTTTCAAGCCCATATCTTCCACACCCTTATAGCTATCGAGACGCAACCACCCCTATGCACGAATGGAGACTTGGGGCTACCACCACATACAAACACCATTCACGTGTGATGTGTAGTTTCAGCGAAAAAGTGAAATATAGGGACATACATGTCCATTTTTATGTATATATATAGATATCACCTTTTTCAGTAATCTTTTTATTAGTAGCTCTCCGTTTGCATTTACAACTTAAAGCACTTTCATATATTTTAGTCCTCTGTTGAGATTTGCAGTTTATCAACAAGCATATAGTATATTTGCAGCGAAAACAAGGCTTGTTGCCTTCAGCAGCACCTATATATTTTGAACCACAAATGCATTGACATATATGGTTCTCATGTTCTTTAAACCAGCTACAATCATAGAGTCAAATCCATGTTCAGCATCAGCACCTCTACATATCTTCAATTCTGCAGTATTAGAAAGGATATCCCATGTGTTCTGGTAAAGAAATGGAAGAAATTATTTCAGTAAAGTTTACTTTTAATACATGATGCAGTTTTTCCTAATTTGATTTAAGAGATCTCACTAGTAAACCTGTCCTAAAAGGATAGAAATTTTGGGGGCGACACATATAATAATAACTATAAACAAAAACTCATGGGATTACTTACCGATTATGCACGTGGAAGCCACTGTTGCATACATTGCGGAGTAGCACATTGGAGGCGATGCTTAAAAATCATGTCACGTGACCTCGCTCGATGTCATCAGATCATGTGAGTGCTGATGTGATTCCCCTCTATTTTTCTGGAAGAAGGATTCATTCTTTCTGTTACACTTTCAGGCATCATGTGATCTGCAATGACATTGTATTCCATATCACATGATTCTTCTCTTTGAAACAATTTTAATAACTTTAAATTTAAGTAGATGGCTTTTAATAAAACAATCTGTTTTTGTATAAAATTTGATACTCAACCTTTATAATTTTAACCTTTATAAATATAAATCTTTTTCTGACAGCTCGATGACCCAAGATAACATATTTTCAGTTTTGAACAGTCCACGAACTACAGTTTGAGAAACATTACAATAGTTTCGTTTCAGATATTATCAGGGCTGTGGAGTCGGAGTCAGAGTCGTGGAGTTTTGGTGTTTTAGCCGGAGTCGGAGTCGGATTGGTAAGGAAAAGTCGGAGTCGGTAGATTTTTACGCGACTCCACAGCCCTGGATATTATGTAACCTTCTATCATAAGACCTCTTGTATATGTTACCGCTAAAGCTCGAAATCCGTTAATGTGCACATTACCTAGCTAATCTGCACATTAACTAGGGTGATCCGTTAAAGTTGCTAAAATTGTTCTATTTCTCAAATTACCTAGGTAATGTGCAGAGTATCTAGGTAATCTGCACATTACCTACTAGGCACTCGGTAAAGTGAAAATAAGATTTTTGCTGGAACAACAGCAATGTTTCTGTACGCTTAAATTAACATAATGTTATTTATTTAATTTTCAATATCTAAAGAATCAAGTTAATACAATCAACAAATTAGTTGATTGAATCAATCATCAATCAATTAAAAAAAC